GTGGGTCATAGTCATCGGTAGGGGGTTTATTTTCGACGTGCAGGGCGGATGGTGCTTGGTTTTTCTTTTAGCTCCATTGCGAGTGACGTGACGCGCGTCGCTAGGGACGCAGAAGGGTCATTTCGCGCGTCGGGGAAGAGCGAAATGACACGCCACGTATAGCATGGGCGGTCGCGCGTGCCACCCTTGGCGAGGCAGTTTCCCGCGAAGTGGGACGCTGCGTCGCGGGCGGTTCACCGCGATCAGATCACTTCAAATCTGTGCACCCGAAGCCGCACGACCATCTCTACATCTGCGCGCACCTGTGCTGAAGCCCGCCGCGCGCGCTGTTCACGCCAGGCCGTGGGAGTCGCCGTCCTTCTGCCGTGCACGCGGACGTCGCCCGTCAATCTTCTCACCGCGGAGCGCCGTCGTCGATGATCTTCTCTCTCCTGTCATCTCCAACCTATTCCCTGTCGAGCGCTCTCGCCGCCGTCATCGTCCTTCTGTCTGCCACGCGCAAGTCGACCTCTTCTTCCTTCGGTTGGCAGATCTTCTGCGTCGTGCGACTTTCCTTCTTCGTCATGGCAGTCCGCCGCGGGAGTCATTATCGTCGTCAGATCTGCCAACTGGCAGGCATTTAACGGCGGGCGAGTGGATACGTGGCGGTCTTCACATCGGGTCGCTTGGCTCGCCTACACAGGTCGCGAGGGAACATGTCTGCACGAGGGGCGGCCGTGGGAAGAAGCGCGAAGGACTGCATGACGACAGCCAAGTAGCTGGAAAAGGTCGGAGGCATGTCCCGAAGGCGAAGAGGCTGCGGTCGGACGATGCGTCGACAAGGGTCCCTCTTGGAGGAGCGCAAGGTTGGGCGGCAGAAGCGGGGGGCGACGACGACGACGACTTCATGAGTGACGAAGATCAGGGACAGGCGACTGCGTCTGGAGTTCGGAAGAGTGGATGGCAACGACAATCTGATCACAACGCTTCGAAAAGGCTGATGACCCCTCCACCTGAGATGAAGCAAGTGCGCGCTCGCGACAGGCGGACTGACGACGCTCACGTCGACGATGTTGGTGACGACGATGACGAGCCCTTGGAAAGACGCCTCCTGCGCAGTCACACAGCAGCCACCCCGCCGCCGGTGGCTTTGGGCCACGCTATCGCTGGAGAAAAGGCTGTGACGGGTAGGCTTTCCGCCACCACGGCTGCGCCACGTCCTCGCAACACGGCTGCTGAAGGAGGGTCCGTCCAACGAGGCGGCGGTGGGGTAGTCGCGGCGCACGCGGGCGCAGTTGGGGTTGAGGCGGCAGGTGCGGCGGGTGCGGTTGCGGGTGTTTCAGGCAGTGCGCCCCCAGTTCCGGCGGCGAGAAAGGAGGGAGCAGTTGTGGCGATGGCGAGGGACGACGTGCGTGGAGAGAAGAGGAATGATCAGGAGGGCGGCGAAGCTGGTTCGAGCAGGCCGCGCAGGGGAGTGTTGACAAATGACCTCATAGACCGTGTCGTCCTTTGGGTCGACGACAAACCTTTCTGGACGACGGGGGAGGGGCGAAGACTCTACAACATCGTACACGAGACAAGAGCCGCCTGCGATCCCTCGGAGCGTTGTGATGCCCAAATCCAGCATGCGGATAGCCAGGATCGCCGACCCGTCGCAGCTGCAACAAGCGACCTCCCGTGCCTCGACAGTGGAGAACATCGCTCTCCCCGTATTGCACGACTGGGTTTTCAAGTCTGGGAACCGCCCGAGGGGTTACAATCTTGCATTCCAGTACGCCCTGGAGTCCGTGGCGACGGACATAGCGTGAGCTATGTGGTAGCGAGGAGTGGTGCAACGTCGTTAGCCCGACCGTTTGCGCACACACAATATATCTCTCCATGGACTTGCCACTGTGGTTCGCGGGCGTGAAAGTCGAGAACAAACCGGACGACAATGACATGGCGGCGTACCAGGAGTCCACCATCATCTGCGTCGCGCATGCGTTCCGAGCGGCGGTGCAAATGGGGGCGGTCATCGACGGTGAGTTCATCTCGCACGATCGTCTTTGTCGGGTGGCTGACTGCTTTAGACTGTTGTTGGCGGCGTGCATATGGATAATGCACATGTCGGGAGACGATCCGCGCAGCCACTTCGCGACGCTGGTGTCGAAGCCCACACTCGTGGCGTCCATGCATCGGTCGTTCGACCATCGTTGATCCATTCGCCTCACCATGAAAGCCGTCACGGAAAGGCTCGGAAAGGCAAACGCCACGTTTGGAGAGCACCCCGACTACCTTCCTCATTGGACAGACCGCGGCATTGTGTTCGGACACGACGCAAGGATTGACGGGCCGGAGGAAGCTAAAAAGCTCGATTGGTTGGGTTCGGGTCCCACCGATGATGACAACGACGACGACGACAAGGGTGACGCGTAGAGGGGGGTGAGGTGGGCGGTACGCGTGGGTGGGTGAGTGGGTAGGTATCCGGGGGGGGGCTTGTTGTTGTGTGAACGCGGGCGAGTGGACACGTGGCAGGTCATGCAGTTGCCTCTTTGCATGCAACCGACTTTATAGCGCTTTCGTCACCGCGGAGGGGGGGGGGGGGGTCTTAGCGGGTCGGCAGGGGGGGGAAACCCGGTTGTTTGGTTGATTTCGTTTGTGCATCGTTTAGTGCAGATGTGTAGTGTGCAGGTCGTCGTAGTCGACGACGGGTACGTTAAAGACACTCTTGTGTTTTGTGTTTATCATCCCTGTTGGGTCGACAAGCAAATCGCAAGCGCTTTCAGCGCACCTTTTCTTTTCTCTTCTTTGTTTGACTGCTCAATGTGTTTTGTGTTTATCATCCCAGTTCGATCGACATGCAATTCGAAAGCGCTTTCAGCGCACCTTTTCTTTAGTCTTCTTTGTTTGTCTGCCCTCCACCTTCACACCGTTGTTATCCTCTCAGCGATGGATGATCAAAAGATGTTTGCCTCGCATGCATGCACACAACCGAAGACGACGTCCCTGAAATGCGCTTTGTATTCGTTGTATGAGGTCGACCAACTATCATGAATGTTTTCGACAGCATTTTGTGAAGCTCACAAAAAAGATCGTGACAGACGAACCGACGAAAAAGATCGTTGTATGAGGTCGACCAACAACACACGAAAAAGACCGTGATAGACGAACTGACGACGTAATAATTGAGACAAACAAAAAAAATTGTAAAAAAATTGCAAGAAAAAAAAAAGAAAAACAAAGACTCGCCCTGAAACAAAGAAGATTTCATGAAACACATAAAACTGAGGAGCCAAACAAAAGAACAACATACGAATGGCAGCTGGAAGCTCAACCCAATCAGAAAGAAAAAAGAAAAAAAAACAGGCATTTGAAGCGACTGGCAGCAGGGGAAAAAAAAGGTCGTTCCAATATTAAATGTTCGCATGTACGTGTGAACCACGCAACCCTCCACACGACGAACACAGGAAACGAAATCATCACCGACGACCATGCATCCATCCGCTCTACAAAGCTACTTCGCTCACGACGACCGCGGGCCACGGGCCACGTCAAAATATGAACCCTCCTACTAATCGCACCGACCCACGCCCGCAATCCCGACACCCCCGACACACACACGCACCAAACCCCCACCACGCGTCTAAGTGCTCCTACATCAAAGCCATCCGGTCTCGAAGAGCGTCACGCAACAAGTCCCCGTCGCTGTTCGTGCAACGTTGCCGTCCGCCCGCGCCGTTTCCCACAATGCCCAAGTCCACTCTCCGGCGCACACCATTCTCATCCACCTCCCACAACAGGTTTTCATCGAAGTCGATCCCGGCGTCAAGGAGGATGTTGTGCAGAGTGCACACTGCCACGAATTGCTGCAGCAAGGTATCCAGGTTCGTCTTGTGGGTGTGCAAGAAAAGACACCACATGCACTTCAGTCACCCGAAAGCTCTCTCCACACACCCCCGCGCCACCTTCTGCCGCGTGTCAAACCGCTCCTCCTCAGGACCTTGGTCGATTCCTCCGTACGGCTGCACGATCCAGGGGCAGACAACAGGATAACCGTTGTCGCCTAGCAGGTAACCTCGCGTGACGACTCCGTGCCGCAGACTCACCGGAGGTGCGTCGAACAACTCGCCAGCTTGTGCACGCCTCCACAACTGGGAATTGTGCAGGACAAGGACGTCGTGCACGCTTTCCGGGTATCCGATGTGGACGTCCATGATCCGCAAATCCAAATCCACCACCACCTGCGCCTGCACGGAAAACTTCCGTTTGCGGTCGTAGTAGTTGGCAGATGGTGCGCCGACGGGCTTGTCAATGAAGATGTGTGTGCAGTCGATTGCGCCGAAGCAGTTGGGGAAACCCTTGTCACGGAAAGCGCGCAGAATTTGCGCGCGTCTACGGCCCACTGGCCACTTTATCGCGTCAGGGTACGCCTGCAGCAGTGCCGAAGTGACGTCGCGGACGGCCTGCAGTCCAGTTGCTCTCCCGATGCCGAAGGCAGAAGTGCCGCTCTCGTACGTCTCTCCTGACGCCCACTTGTACAGCGCGAACGAGATGACCTGCTCCACCGACAATGGCATCCTATAGTGCGTCACCTTCTTCTGCACGTACGTGGCGCACACGGCCACGATGTGCTTGAACATGGCCATCGACATGCGCAACTTCTGGCGGTAGTACTCGTCCGTCGCGTCGTCACACAGGCGGAGGTCCTCCCATGTTCCGCCAGTCCGTCGTTTAATCCACCAGCGCGGGGTCTCCCGCAGGAAAACGCCAGAAGACAGCGAGGCACACAACAAGATGACTGCCTGACACGTGGCCACACAATCTGGCACTTCGCCAATGCGCTGCAACAATGCTCGTCGTTTGCGGAGCTCCGCCAGCGCGTCGCGTGACGAGGACGGGTCACCACGCATCGTGTTCACGACGACGGCTGTCACGGCCATCGCCACCGCCACGATTTCGTCACCCCGAAGACCCTGCCCGCGCCCGCGAACGTCCATATCCAAGAACCTCGTGCTCTCCATAGTTAGACGCCTGCTACAACCGCCAAACAAACGCCCGGCGCTGAAAACCGCCACTTTGATGACGCACGCCGGTGCCGAAGATGCGGCCGCTCGTGTACGACGGCACAGGAGATGACGCGCGGCGCAGCCGAAGACGCGCCCGCTGCTCCACGCTTCCACAGGGCAGCGCGCACGACGTAGGTGAAGAAGCGCCCACCACGAAAATGCGCCCGCTGGTCACAAGTTGCGTGGAATCGAAAGACGGATACCCACAGCGTGCACTTCGCCACCGTCGTCTTTTTGACGTCACACTCGTCGCCTGGCCTTCCTCCGCCGCGCTACTCTGCGTCCGCGAAAATTCAAATTTGAATTTTTGAAGTTCGGGGGGACCACGCTTTTCACCCACCCCTTTTTCCTCCGCCCAAGGGCCTCCGCACTGTGTACCACAGACAACATCCAGGAAGGGACGGACATCGGCGGCGCGGCTGCGTATACGCATATGAAAACCGGTCGCGGGAGACCTTTTAGGACGATTCCTAAAATATGATTTTTAGGACTGCGTGTAACGACGACGCACAGAATCCTAAAAGACCTTTAGGACTCGTCCTAAAAGTTTTAGGATTCTTTTAGGAGTGTCTAACGAGCCCCTAACTCTTATACCTGCATCAGGTTTCCTACATTTCTTCTACCAAAGCGACAACATCCTATCAATTTTCCGGATTCTCCGACTTATCCCCTAACACCAACTGTCTATTCTACAGGCTAACTACCCCCCCTACCCAGGCCTACTCCCGGCCTGACATCGGTCCACAGCCGACCGATTGGAATTAAGGGGCGTAGAGCAGAAGTTCTGGTTGGATGAGGATTTCGGCGGCATTATCTCCTACAGTCTGCAGTTCAGATTGGGACCTCACCTTGGTTCTTGTATGGGGCCCAGAAGTGGGGCCAGCTCGGATGGCACTGCTCCATGAGGAGTACTCTTTGCTATATATGGATAGTAGTCTAGAGTACTCATCACGCTTTGTTTTTCCACTTCGTCGCTTGCCGCACATGCTGGACTGAGTGGCATGTTCTTGCACGGTGAGCGACAAGCTGTGAGTTTCACTTGGAGGTTTTTCCCACGAGGAAAAAACGTTATTTTCAGGGCTCTAGAGGTAAGTACCCAGAACTGAACCGAAAGAAAAGGCGGGAATGGGAGGGACGGGTAGAGGGAATGAGTAAGTGAGATACTATTTAAGGAAGGAGGGCGAGGGGAAAGGCCTCTTACTCAAATTCGTCGGTGGCGGGTTCTTGATCGTAAGCTGAAGTTATTCTCGCTTCGACGGCGCTCGAAGCGATAGTAGAGGTGACACTTCGCTCTAATAGTAGCGCTCAAATGTAGATGAGTTTTAGGGTTAAAACCAGAGGATTTGGAACTGGGTCTAGAAGGAACCTCCGTCCTGCGTCCCTCGAAAAAAGAGTAAGTGAGATACTATTTAAGGAAGGAGGGCGAGGGGAAGGCCTCTTACTCAAGTTCGTCGGCGGTGAGATCTTGGTCGTACGCTGAAGTTACTCTCGCTTCGGCGGCGCTCGAAGCGGTAGTAGAGGTGACGCTTCGCGTTAATAGTAGCGCTCGAATGTAGACGAGTTTTAGGGTTAAAAAAAAAAAAAAAAAAAAAAAAAAAAATTGATATGAGAGTAGAAGGAACGGCCTAAGGATTCGGGATACTATAGGGTAGTACTCGACGGGAACCTGCGAGGGAGGTAGCGCCAGAAAAGTCTAGTGCTAAGGGGTGCTAAGTGGGAGGCGCCGCTAAGAAAATTTAAAATTCTCCAGGAACTGAACCTGGCCTAGTGGGAAGGACGGGTTCACTTGCAAATAAGGGAAACTCTGGAGGGTCGACAAGCAAGCAGAGTGAGTCGCCTAGTATTTAGAGGTTCCCGAATTCGATACGAGTCTTTCAGAAATACTAGTGAAG